TTTTTTTCCAACTTCATATAGATCTTTATGCTATTAAGGATATAGTTGAACCCAGACAATCAGAACAAATAAAACAGTTAAAAATGAAAGATGGGCTCTTAAACTAGGGTAGGCTCTGATTTAGGGCCAATGCTGCAGACTCCAGTCTTTCTGCCTTGAAAAGTTCATCACTGGTTAAGCTGCCTGGAGGGCAAGGAGCAGGAGTTTCCTAGGATGGAGGTGGAGTTGGCAGCTGTGTAAGTCACATAGCCTAAAGGATTTTGTACTCCCAAATACCAGCTCTGCTGCCTGACATTCCACCAGCCTGGCTCTTTTCCTTTGTGACCTAAGGAATTTTCCTTGTTTAAGATTTTAAGAAGTTAAGTAGCACTGTAGCCAGAAATTAGAGGGAAATGAAAAGGGAGGACAAATCCAAGCCGTTTCATTATTTCAGCATTCTTCAAGCACAGCCTGTGAACGGGGATGGCTTAAGAGAGGGTCGTGAGGGCACCAGATGGGGTCATGGAGGATCACAGGCAGGAGAGAAGAGGATCTAATTAAACAGGAAGAGAGCAAGTATGAGTTTTTTTCTGATATGTCTTATTTGATCTCAGCAGTAACTCTGCGAGGTAAGAGGCAATTGTTTTGCCCATTTTAATGATGAGAAAACTGAGGTTTAGAGTAATGGACCTAATCAGTTTCTTTTACTCTGTGTGTTCTCTTTGAGAATAATAATCCCATTATGTTGTATGACGAAGCAGGAAGCAAGCGTATCTATATTCTGACTATCACAATCTAAAAAATGATCCGACCAAAACAGGAAGAGACGACAATGTGGTAATGATTTTGGTCTTTGAGAGGAGGGGGGTAAGAGATGCCTTTTTTTGTTTTTTTCTCCTTTTCCCTAGTTTTCTGTTTTCTATAATACACATGATTAATTTAATATCATCACCAAAAAGGCATATATTGCTTTAAAAAGGGAAGTTTTTGTTTCTTGGGCTATTAACCTTCTTTCTAGTTGGGTAGACATCTTTAAAGCATTTTATAGGAATAAAAATCGCTACTTTTAAGGATTGATTTGTCAAATAAAGCCACTAATAAAGTTTTTGCCATAAGTTCTTGGACCCTCTATTAGGACTGCTCTTGTTTCCCTACAGTTATACTATAAGAAAAGAAAAAGACACCAGAGACTCTACTGAAGATAAAAATTGGAAACCTGATCTCTAAGACAGTCTGAGTACATATCCCTGCATCCTGTGGAAACAAATATTCAAATTGAAGTAAGTATTCACATTATAGCCTTTTACCAAGAGGTTCCGGTGTTTTGTGATTTCAAAATACCAAAAGAACCAACCAATTAAATAGACTTATACAGTCAATGATAGAGATGTTTCATCTACATAATGCTCACGGAGCTAAGGGATCTTTCGGCATTGTATACACAGAGCTGGAATATAGCAAATGTGGTCATTTAAACTGTGCCCCTTCAAAATCAAAATGTCCAATTATAACGCAAAATATTTAATCAGTCAGATAATTCTTTTTTCTACTCATTTTCAAATCATAAATTTGAGTAATTTACTTTATTGATTTTACCTGATATTAAGGTGGTTTCCTAAAATATAATTGAATCTCTAAATAACAGGAAGAAAGAGATTCTGGCCTGGGTTTGCTATGTGAGGGATGTGAGTTAAAAATAAATAAGCAAACAAAAACTCATATTTGTCCTTTACAGATAAATGTTTTCTTATTTCCTTTTAAAAATGTAGCTCCTTTAGGCTATGCATATTAGACTTTAATAACTTGGTTAGAAAGACCTGGCTCAGAAGAGTATTTATTAAAATGTAAATTAAACTTGCCTAAAAGAAAATATGTAGGAAAAAAATATTAAAATTCCTTGGGTTATAGAAGTAGAGGTTTGAAACTTATGAAAATTCAAGAAAAGAACTGTTTCAGAAAAGGGAAAATGCAGATCATGGGTCACTCCTTTTGGCCCAAACTAACTTCCCTTCCTAGCTTACGTTCCCATTCACAAAGGGTGACACCATTCTTCCAAATGTGGAACTCTGGTGTCATATTGAATTGCCTTCTCCTCATCCTTCGTGTCTAATGTTTTCATAGTACACTCATTCTTTCTTTGAAATGCCTCTTGGGTTATATCTTAATTTAAATTCTCCTGATAGAGGATCTTACTATGTTAAGCCTGCATCACTACTAATAGCCTCCATAGAGGTCTTTCTGCCACCAGCCTGCAGGCCTTCAGAACTGCCTTTGCCTGTAGCTGTCAGATATCTCACATTCAGACACCACTTTCATCTTTGCTGCTCCCTGCTCAGTACTCACATCTTTTGTTGCTTCTGCATTAGATTCAGATTCCTCTCTCTGTGTGTCATGGTTGGGTCCTCCAGGTCTCTCTTTCTCTCTCATAGACATTTCTATCATTTCAATCTTATTTTTACTGTCTCCTCAAACACATTATTCATTTAAAGTCAACCAAGTTGACCCTACTTTTTGTGCCCATTCTTGTCCTCTTTTCGAACCTATACCATTTTTAATCCAGCCACCATGTCGTGTCTCTTTTGCATGGAGTGCTCTCCCTCTCACTTTTGCTTTTCAAATGCCACATCTTCCATGTAGACTTCTATGATCCCTGCCACCCTATCCAAACTCCCATCCCATCTATAATCAAGATTGAATTACATGACACACCTAAACACACTCCTATTGACTTATATGTCATCCCGTGTTTCTAAACGAGGGTGTTATTGGTATTTATAATGGTTCACTTCATCATGGTGCAGGGCTGTCTTACACTTGGTGTGACATTTGGCATCCCTGACTCCTACTTGCTGACCCTGATGTTATGGTGACAACCCCCAATGTTCTGAATACATTTGCAAATGCTCCGAAAAGTTCTTTAGAGAAGTTACTATACCATTTATGTATTGGCTCAACAAATAATCTTTAACAATGAATGCATATTTTAAAGAACAAATCATAGTTCCCATAGAGTTGCACAAGATATTTTAAAAGGTAGAAAGGAACATAATTAGCACTGAGGTGTTAGTCATTATTCCACTTTAGGTGTGTTTATAAGATAATTCACTGGACCCTCACACAGATCCTGGTGTTGCTATTATGAAGAAACAAGCTCAGAGAGTCCCATTTTTCCAAGGTCATATAGGTTGACTGGGATTCTGGCATTTAAGCCTGGAGTTGTTTGGAGCCAAATCTTTACCTTTTTCTTCTATCACACAGCCTCTATAAAGATAGCTTTGAAATAACACTGTGAACATGTAACCTAATTAGCAATTTAAAGTGCATTATTAATGCTGATAGGTACTAATGACTGTAATTGAAAGAAAGGACGTTAGACCAGACAAACATTTTATTTTCTAGAATTTATAACAAGAATATAAATTGGAGTCTAATGAATGAATTTTCTCACTGACTGTCTTTGCTGCAAATGTTAACCCATGTTTGGTTTCTAATTGAGATGCACATATTCTTTACTCTGTTATTGCATTCTTAATATTCATCTGAGCAGATGATCAACAGATCTTTCTACATTTTAATTATTCAAATTTTGGGTAGTAAAGGGCTAAATACACATATTAGGTAGCATTGCTAGATCCAAAGCCAGGGGAATCTAAGAACTAGAAATAATTGCTCAGGTCTTCTATTATCTGGGTGGCTTTAATAATAAATGTTATCTGAATCAAGAATTGCAGTATCATTTATAATGTTGCATAAGTTTTTTTGTTATAGTTTATTAATTATTTTGTGTCTATCTAAATGTCTAAAGCATCTACATTTTAGTAGTGTGTATTTATATATGTACACATATATATTCAGTTACAATTCTTCATATATTAGCTAGCCTAGAACTTAGGAAGTCGTAGTGTAAATGATCCATATTTGTACTTTAAAAAGTACACTCAGGTTCTATCTATGCACACTGTATTCCTTGCAGGAGAAAGAGAGAGAGAAAGGGGCAGCGGCAGGTGGGGTGGGGTGGGATTCAAGCCACTTGAAAGAACTAATATTTTTAATTTCATGTTTTCTCTTTTAGCAATGACAATACATGTTTATCATTTGTTTATTATGTTCAACAAAGAAGGAAAGGATCTAAAAGCTAAGTTTGTAAGTGCTTAGAACCATTGTGTATATATATATAAATGTGTGCATAATGTAAAAACATTTTATTCTTATATTGTCTTATAAATAGTATCTACTGTAATGAAGTTACACCTCATTTGCTAACAAAACCACGTTCAGTAATAAGAAAATGGGCATTCTGGTTATCTGAAAGAATAAAGGGGTTTTTAGTTATGCTTGGTCAGAAAAACAAACATTTAAGAAAACTTTACTTCTTTATAATGAATTCAGCTTAATGTTGGCCCTTTTGTTAGAACATTTCCTGAACAAAATGCTTTTTTAGCTTCTGCAACCTGGGACACTTTGGAGGGATCTAGAGGAAAAGGTAAGAGAATACACCCCCAGCAAGATGAACAAAATTATGTCCAGATGACCCAGTTATGTATCTCAGTTGTGGGTAACTATAGAATAGCAAGAAAAGTTTCATTATTTTGACTCAATTACTCTCTAAACTCTCTTGTTAACTTTGTGGTGCAATAGAATTCTTAAAGTTAATCCTTTGTCATGAAATAGAATTTTTTCCTATAGAAGCCAGAAATGGCCCAAATATTCTGACAACATTTCCATAGAGGCACAAATATTTTAAAGGTGGATTTCTAGAGTTTCTATTAACAGTTCCTTATATCTTAATAGTACCTGAACTGATATCTACTGGTGTACTATTGAATTTTCCCCCATCTATTTTTAGATCTCCAGTTGCTTTAGAGATGGATTTAATATGTAAAGCAGAGGCTTACACTGTGAAACATTTGCATGATTGCATTTTGGTTTCCCATCAGCTAAGTAGGGCAAAGTTGATCCCATCTCACAAGGAACTTTATTCCACATTTCCTCTATTGACTTGGAGGTTCGGCTTTGCTTACCTGCTTCCTTGAAGATACTGTGCTGTTGAAACATCTGTTAGAGGTATTTAAATTCAAATTCTTGTTCTGATGGGTTGAGTCATTTTTCCATGTCTTAGAGTTTTCTTTAGGGTCAGAAGGAATGGGATTTAAGAATAGGATTCTTGCTATGAATCCATAGAGGACAGTGGCCAGGATCATTGGCACCACATAAAAGACACCAAAGTCCATTAGGTAAATAGGTGAGTAGTAATTCCTGGAGATCTTGTAGCCACAGGACACCACAATAGCATCTTTGTAGGTGCTAATGTTGAGATCCAGCAAGAAAAACCAGAGCATGCAGTAGATGGAGGTGAAAGCCCAGACAAAGATGATGATCTTTTTGGCTCTGGAAAATGTGCAGAGAAACTGGGCTTTGATGGGGTGACAGATTGCTATATACCTTTCAATGGTAAAGGCTGTGATCGAGCAGGAGGATGCATTAATTCCCAAGTACTGGAGGTAAGTAATGCAGAGGCATCCGACGTAGCCATAGACCCAGGAACCATAGATACTGTCTGTTATGTTGGGGAGGCCAGCAGCCACTAGGACCATGAGATCGGCCACTGCCAGACTCACGAGGTAGCAGTTTGTGGGGGTCCTCATGTGCTTGGTTCTCATGACCACCAAGACCACCATGATGTTTCCCACGATGCCCAGACCACAAATAATGAGCACAAGTAAGATGGTGACCACTTGGTATTCTAGGGCCACCACGGCTTGTGGTTGAAGCTGGGTTTGGTTCAGTTCACTTACTGTTTCATTCTCCATCTTTCGTGGCTTGAAGTTTCTCTGAAGCACTTCTTAAAACATCTTTCAGCGTCCACCTTTATCGCAGTGGTTCTAGCCCCTGTGAAAGGTTATGTACATGTTCATTCACAGACAACTCTCTCTCCCTCTCCTTTCACCTTGTTTTCCCACAGTCACAGGGATCCTATGCACTTTGGAAAACTTCTTTTATTGCAACTAGTGTAGGATCAGTTTCCTCTTCATCAAGGAAAATGCTTTAAAAAAAAAGGAAACAGAAAGCTCCTTTTTGAAACAGTGCCCAAGTGAAAAACTAAACAATATATGCTAGCTAAAAATAAATACAAAGAAACCTCTCACATCCTTGGGAAAAGTATAATAAAGAAGAAAGGGTTCGAGGTACGGCGTGAAGGCAAGAAGCTCCAGGGTCAAGCTTGGTAGGAATTTAGCTGTGGCCTCCCTTGCTCTCAGGGGTTAAGATCTCTTTGGTATACAACAGTAAGGCTTCAAAACTACAATTTCCCATGTCCCCCGTCCCCCATACTCAACAGAGAATAATTTCTTCTCTTACCTTTTCCTCTCTCGCACTGCCTGCTTTTCCGGGTAGATGAAGTGGTAATAGGTCCAAGTTTCTAATCCTGCAGACAATCTCCTCTACACTGACAGGGAGACCACTTAGCAGCGTTCAGCCTTCAGAGCTGCAGTTCCTCTCAACCCTCGCAGCCCTTTTCAACTCATGACAGACCATGCAGACGCAGCAGCAGCAGTAGAAGCAGCAGTAGGAGCAGCCGCCAGGCTGTCAAATCATAGATCGTCCCCTAATGAGAGCTCACACACGCTCTGGCTCAAACACACATATGAGCGCGCACGCACATGAGCACACACACACACACACACACACTCACTTGTGCCTGTCAGTTCTGGCTGATTTATAATCTTCTCCTCTTGAAGGATTTACTTTTAAGTGTGTTGGTAATACAGTTCTCAATGGGAAAGGCTGAAATCACAGGCAAGGGGTCCGGAAGCAGCTTGTCTTGTAGTTGCTGATCCTCTAAGTTCTGCAGAAACTCCAGTACCTGAGCTTCCCTGAAATATAATCCCATTCCTTGCCTGACAGGATTTTTGGGGGTAGCAAATCCTGTTCAGTCTAGACACAGCCCTTGAAGCTTGAAATATCTGTCTGCACCGAAATCAGCTTCTTTCTCTACTATAGAAACTCTGAGAATGTTTCTCCATGGAATCAGTAAAATCAGCTCTCTCTTCTAATATTGTATGAATGGAAAATGAGTTAAAATTGATTTCAAACCATTCCCACTGTAATCTTCTGAGGATTATAAAATTATAATTTTAAAAAAAATGATTCAAGCTAAAAGCATCGATTGAAACCTGCACATGATGCGTTGAGTTTGGCTTTCAGCTCTGGCTCTAACTGCTCTGGGTGCCTTTCCCCTTTCTTCGATCCTCAGGACTACCAAGCACATGAATACCCGGCCATGGTTTGTCTTGATTTAATTCTAGGTGGAAAATCATCTAGTAGAATTCCAGCCCAGTGTCACTCTGGTACCACATGTCTGAAATGGAACTTTATAGATCCATTTTTTAAAGAAAAGTGTATTTTGGCTGTATTTTTATTTCTCTAAAGTAGACCATTGGCAAATCTGTACCTTTTCATGAAGCACAGAAAACATGTCTTTTTTCTTCAGACACCCACTGAATGCACCAAATATTAATGTTCATTTACTTTTATCTTAACTTACAATGAAAATATCCCTTAGCAAGATTTCTTGTGTGGTGAACTGATTATTTTTAAAAAGTTCAGATGCTCTTCCCTCTAGAAGATGTCAGTAGAAGAGTCCATTTTGAGTAGACAGGACTCTAACAATATAAAAAAAAATATCTCAAGTCAGATAGTAAAGAGAGAAGGTGACGTTCTGGATCATACCAAGTGACTCCTAACCTCTGAACTACAAAGTAATCCTTGGGTACCCATGTCTCCTTCCATATTATCTGTAGGTATAAATTAATGACCCATAAGTCACATTCAGACATGTAATGTTTGGCCTGCACAAGACATGATCAATATGATTTAAAATAATTAGATCATTTTTTACCTTTAAGAAATTGGGATAGAAATTGAATGCTAAATTAGAATTTTTCTCATAAAATTGGAAAGGTCTAGCCTTCATGGGTCCTCATTCCTGCTTAGAAACAGTCACCCGAGGCTGAGTAGTGGCTGAGGGTCTGAGATTCTAAGGGTCCTTGTAGAAGACAGAATGTGTCCTCTCCTATCTTCTTCACACCAAGCCACCTCCCTCTTATCTGTCATACATGCTAGCTTCAGGCTGACATGCATACCAAGCCCCTGTTGCCACTGGAGCATGGCCCCTGTATCATACCCACATTCCTGAGAGAATCAAGGGAGGATACCAGCCGAATGCAAATTCTTTTATTCTAAGTAGAACTTTTCCTGACTTTCTGTGACTGGAGATGGAGACCCCTTTACCACTCCCCATGGCCTAGAGGACAGAGGTTACTCCAAATAGTTGCTTCTTGCCTAATTCTCTGTTACTCGGAATAATAAAAAAAAATACTTCCTACAATAAAGGCATCACCTCCCTACTTCCCCTTGACCCTACTGCCTCCAACTCACAATATCCCTTGAAAGTCCTACTTGATAAATCATATCTTCCCTTATCATTCTCCCAGTGATTTTAATCAACCTTCAGCCACCTAAGTAGTATGGTCTGATTTCTACAGTACATATCATTAAAAAAGATGAGCAGAGTGAACATCTACAGTGCTGTTTGCCTTTTCAATTCCACTCCTACTTTAAATCTTCTTTATTGATTTTTTCAGCACTTTTATTCTGTTTTAATATTATGGGTCTCTATTCTTTTAATGCACAGTAGTTAAGCTCCTACTATGCACTTTAATGTCCAGGCACTAGGACATAAAATTTCATTTTTATCTTCAGATAAATCATGAATGTTGAGAGAAGCAGAACTAAAATCATGCTCAGAGGGTTTGGTTATGAAGGGAAGGCACATATCAGGGGTGAAGACAGTGAACTGAGGGACAGGGAGGGTTCCCAAGCAAGGTAACACCTGAGGACAGTCTTGAAGGAAAGCACAGCTCTTCTGATATGTGGGGAGGGTGAAAAGACATTCTGGCTAGAGGTGACAGGTTGTACAAGTCTCAGCTGTGGCAAAAGGCAAGGATTTGGGGATTGCAGGGGTGATTTTATGATTCTACTTTGGCCATGCAGAGTTGTAACAATGTGATGAGAGTCACCTGATGACATCCAGGCCAGGTATCTAGTCCCACCTGTGCTAAGGTGACTGACACTGACCTTGGCTCCTCCTCCTCCTTCACTTGTGTTTTCCACTCTGGACAGGTCACATTTCTGATTTTACCTTCCCAGACTTGCCAGTTTATTATGGTCCAACTTCATGAACTTTGCAAAATTATATTTTCTAAGTAATTAGAATTCCTATGGTAAGTTTTTGTTTGTAAACCTCCATTAGAAAATATCTAATATATATTCCCTATATTCAATGAACCACACCAAAATAGGGTAAAATTTGAATGAACTTTACATTTGAGTTGAGATTCTTTTTCCTCACAATAATATCTTAAATTTTAGCCAACTATGGTCTCTGTCTTTTAGTATTTCTGACTAGATTAAATGCCTCTTTGGAAAAAAAAGGTCATGGGGTATCTGTTTTGAAACAAAGCAGGTAAGTCGCACCTAGAACTATATATAGATGGCAAACCACAACATTGCCTATACTTTTCAAGTCCACTTTCTAAGGCCTGTGGTCTCTGACCTTGTGCCTTTGCATAGGCCTTCTTGCCTACATACTCCTAGGCTGGCATTGAGAAAGAACATCAGATTTCACAGGCTCCCCTGTAAGAATGTCTTTGGATGCCCATCCAGGACATCCCCTTTCTCCACCACCACTTCTCCCCATGGGTCTGGCCTTGGACTTTTCCCTTGAGCTTGAGGAAAGATTTAGCACTTTTACCCACCTTTTCATTACAATTAGATAACTTGCTCATGGTGTCCAGTTTTCCCTTTTCTGGTTAACCCAAGAAAACATCCATTTAGCCAAATCTCTGTTCCTGAGACACACTGGTTGACATGATACCACATCTTCTGGGATGTCCTGTCTCTACAACAGCAATTCAGAAAAACATTGTCTTTATCTCTGGATGTGGTCTTAGCTACCTATCTAAGGTTATCTCTGGTCATCACAAATCTTTTAACAGATAAATGATTACTTGCACTTATATTAGTCAGCTTTTTGTTGTTGTTACAAAATACCTGAGAAAAACAACTTATAGGAAAAATAATTTATTTTGGCTCACAGTTTCAGAGGTTTCAGTCCATTGTTAGTTCCTGACTCCATTGGTTCCAGGTAAAAGGGCAAGAGAGAGCAAAGTTGTTTACCTCGTCTTAGTTAGGGGGCAAGAAGGAAGGAGTCCGGAGCAAAATATACCCTTACAGAGCACACTCCTCGTGACCTACTTCCTCTGACTAGGCCCCACTTACTTCAGTTTCCATTCCATTATCTTCCTATAGTTGGTTGACTTCTGAACCCATTGATGGATTAATCCATTGATGAAATCGGGTCCCTTATAAGCCAATTACTCTCTAAAAGCCCCACCTCTGAATATCGCTGCATTGGGAACCAAATCTTCAACACATAAGCCCTTGGGGGACATTCCAGATCCAAATTATAACAATATTATTAGCATTTCTCACACTTTGGTCTGCATCTGTTTGAATCACCTGGAGAGCTTATTAAAACCCAGACACCTGCCACTACCCTCAATTGTATGCTTCTGTGGATCAAAAATGGAGCTAGAATGTAAGTACTTTTTATAAACTCCCAGGTGATATTTGATGCTGTCAGACCACACTTTGAGTAGAAGTGTACTTTATGATATAGCTCAGTGGTTCTGATAGGGGTGATGGGGAGCAATGATCAATCGGAATCTCTTAGAGAAGTTTTAAAAATACATATATCAGCCTAGCCTGCCTACATATTTTGTGTATAGGTGTATTTTCTAGGATCAGAGCCTGAGAAGGAGACAGGGATTTTGGACAAAAGCAATTGACTTGATCTTCTATCACTCTCTGTCTTGTACTATCATGATTGGCTTGGCTTGACAGGTGGGGGATTTTCAGAAAACAAAATATTAATTACATTCAAGCAGCCCCAGGATCAGGAAATCTGCTGATAATAGAACATCTGGCTTAGTCACTGGTTTGATTGACACAGACCAGTATAAGGAGAGGACAAAATTTAAGAGGATGTCAAAAACCTCAGTAATCAAGATGATTAATATTTTGTTGAAAAAAATTTAAAGTATCAAATTTAGTGTAAAAGTGTCTATGATGAATAAATCATCAAAATTTTAAATAAAGATAGACTCGGTATTATAAATTTTCCCTTTTGCCACAGGCTCCAAGTACTGGTCCTTTACTTAACATTTATATATTTTGTTTACTATGAATTATTCTGTATTAATTTTGTTTTTAAAAAATATTGCATTAAAACATTACCCTTACCACTGAATCTTTTCAGAGACCCTTGTATTTTTGTATCACTTACTTTACTTTATCTTCAGCTTCCTCATCCCTGTCTGAATTTCAGAATCAGTGGGAGAGATTTCACCACAGATACTTGGTTTCATCTCACAGATTTTCTTCTTGGTTAGGAAGTGAAGCCCATTCTTGGTATGTACAATAAAAGTTGAAAACTAATAAGTCATATCAGCTAAATTTGTTTTGGAG